GAGCGAGAGAGAGAGAGAGAGAGAGAGAGAGAGAGAGAGAGAGAGAGAGAGAGAGAGAGAGAGAGAGAGAGAGAGAGAAGTGATGTTTCAGAACATACGAGAGGCTGGCACCAGCTCTACTGTGGACTCCTGCTGCGGCACAAGCTTTCAGCACAGACATTTTGAATTTCAGAATGCAACTATTTGGCACTCTTGCTTCTATTTGTTGCTCTGCTCTGTCTTCCCTTCTCGTCCTTGGCCTTTTCTTTCATCACTTCTTCTTTCTTCTTGTTCTCAGGCAGGGTCAATGACCAATCCCTAATGACAAGGTCCGACTCCTTATCTACTGGCCTAAGCTTGAACAACACATCGGTGATTTCTTCTACGGTGAGTGGATTGGTAGGTAGCTTCATCAGTCGTCGTTTGGTGAGGACGGTCCCGATAACTTGCTCTATGTCACCTTGGGTGTAACCTTGCGATAGATGGCAGAGCGTGGACAGATCAAACTCATGGGTAAGTGAGCCGCCGTGTCTACTGATGAGGGCAGGCCACAGGAGTCGGAGGCTTGCGTAATCCGGGAGAGGGACGAAGATGTGTTTGTTGAAAAAATTGACAAAGTTCTTGGAATCGTTCTTAGTGGTGCAATCCATGGGCCGGTACGTGCATCCTATAATTAGAATTCGATCCCCCGGGACGAGGTTCTTTACGGCTTTTAGCAGCTCCTTCCGTATTCGGTTAGACAACTCTGTTCCCGCCATTTCCCTTGCCTTCCTCTTCTCCGTGACGAAGACCTTCTCCACCTCGTCGATGTAGATGATCGATGGCGCCATCACCTTCGCCACTTTAAAAACCATATGCATCATCAAGTTAACCTGCTTGCCGGGATAGAGACCGTCGGTGTTGCTCGGAGTGAGGTTGAAGAGATTGGCGCCAGCGGCATGCGCCGCGGCATGAACAAGCAAAGTCTTCCCCACCCTCCGACTTCCGAAGAGAAGCAGCGTCTTGATGGGCGGAGCTTTCTCGTTGAGGAACTGGGAACCGAGAGACAAGACGCAGTACTCGATCATCAGCTGACGTATCTGGGCGATGGACGGGTCAGGAGTGATCTTGGCTTTCTCCAACGTCGAGCCCAAGAAGTTGTACCCTCCGACGTACTCGGAGAACTTTCGCGGAGGGCATGGTTGGATGATGCCGTTGCCAACGAGCTCGGCGTAGAGCGATTCTAAACTGCGATCAGCAGTCGGGTCCCTCGGCTTCCTACCCTTGCCCTTGCCTTTAGCAGGGCCTATGCCAAGGAATTGCATCATCAGGAGCGCCATGTTGCCGCTCTTCTTCTTCTTCTTCTTGCCGCCTTTCTTCCCACGCCTACCCTTTCGGCCTTGCTTGCCCAGCCGAGCTGCCCTCTCGGCTATCACCATCTCCTTGAGGTTCTCCAGGAGAGTCCTCATTTCGATGTCCACCTCCTTTCTCAACTCCTCAAAGATGGATGGTCGAATCGCGTCCTTCACCAGCTCCACGTCGTGCTTCTGGTGGAAGTTAGAGGTCTCATCCTTGTCCTGCCATCGGGTGCAATAAGTGTTAATTGCTTTCCGGATGTGGTCCCGGAAATAGATCGGGCAAGTCTCCTCGGGAGGCTTCACCACTTCTTCTCGCCTACCCTTTCCTTGCTTTGCCTCCGCCTTCCTAGCTTTCTCTTTGGCTTTCTTTGCCGCTGCTCGATTTGCCGCGATCTTCTCTGCTCTAGGGTCCTTCTTCTTTTTCTCTTCTGGCTCCGGTATCACCACCAGCTTCGGCAGAGGGTTCATGATGTATTTCGATCCCGCATCCGCCTCATCAGGAATGTCCGGGTAGTCGCCCGTCTTCGGGTCTCGGTTCTCGATGAACCAGCGATTGATCTTGTCCTGCACAAACTCCCGCATATCTAGTCCCTCGGACTCTTTCACCTTCTTCTTGATCGGCGCAAGTGCATTGTCGTACTCCTCCTTGTTTCGCGCCTGCACATCTTTCCTCCTCGCTTTGTTCTGCGCCTCCACCAGCAAAGGGTCTTCGTTGGGATCGCGCGGGGGCGGTCTCATCCCGATGAACAGCAGCTCGTTGTGCGCTATCCTCTTCATTCGTCTGCGGTCCAGAAACCCGCGAACGATCGACTGGATTTTTGTTGCCGCATCATCCGGACTCAGCAGCTCGCCGCCTTGTCGCTGGTGTCGAAGCTCTTCCTCCTGCAGTCGCTTAACCAATCGAATCTCTTTGACCTTAGTGCGCAGCTGACGGCCTCGTTCCTGTGACTGGATCATTAGCACGGCTTCGTCTATGGCCAACGGAGGAAGTCTGAGGGGGGGAGGAGGGCCTGAGGCTGGAGGAGTCTTGTTGTACTTCTCCATTAGCGCATGGAGGAAGTTATTTCGCCTCTCCAAGTCCTCCCGTCTGTCGATAGTATAAAACTGAGGGACAGGGATCTCCAGAACATCAGGACTAAGCTTCAAGTCCAGGAGAATGTCGTCGAGGCTCACTGCCTCGTGCAAATGGTTGAGTTTGACAAGCCAGTACTTAATCTCTAGTAGCCGTCCGATACACGCCTCGAGAGTAAATCTAAGGTCAACTCGCTTCTGTGGGTGCACGACCTGGTCGTACGCTTCCTCCAGCTGCCTATAAATCTGGATATATCTGATGTAAACGTATGCAATATCTGTCCAGCTCTTACCATCTGAACTCACATCCAGAAGCCGCTCAGTCTCCAACTGGTCAATTAGCTCGTTTATCGACCCCCTCCATTGCAGGTCGTACGTTACGTTCGCCATCCTCTCTCTCTCTCTCTCTCTCTCTCTCTCTCTCTCTCTCTCTCTCTCTCTCTCTCTCTCTCTCTCGGTTTCCCTGTCTGATTGTGTATCTTTCTGGCTGTTTCCCTGGCGTTTCACACCCGCTGCCCTCCACTCTCCCCTCGCTGCCTACCTTCCAACACCCACTTCGATTGGCGGATTCCAGCAGGTCTCGGGAACTCAGTTGGAAGAAGAGAGACTTCTTTTCGCATTTCAGTTCTGTGGAGAAGAAAACATACAACAAGGCCTTTGACACTAGTCTGGAGCCGTTAGCTCAAGAAGGGCCACTTGGAGATAACAGCGATTGTGCAAAGTCACACAAACGCCAATATATATATATATATATCGTCAAATAGAACTGCCCGGTAAACCGTAGGCAGAGAGGGAGAAGAGGACAACAAACGAGGGGCTGTGACAAACTGTTTCGTCGGAGTTTCACCGACTCATCAGGAGGCTAAACCCTATATATATATATATATATAACCACAGCCGGGGTTAAGGTGGATTATCACTCACAGTGTAATAGTTAGGGGATTCTGCAGACTGTTGAGGGCTCAGCCTCCTGATGAGTCGGTGAAACTCCGACGAAACAGTTTGCCACAGCCCCTCCCTCTTTCGTTGTCCCCTTCTCCCTCTCTGCCTACGGTTTACCGGGCAGCTCTGTTTGACTATATATGGGACAACGAACGAGGGACGGGCTGTGGCAAACTGTTTCATCGGAGTTTCACCGACTCATCAATATATATATCTATATATATATCTATATATATATATATATAGATATCGTCACAAACAGAACTGCCCGGTAAACCGTAGGCAGAGAGAGAAGAGGACAACAAACGATATATATATATATAGTCAAACAGAGCTGCCTGGTAAACCATAGGCAGAGAGGGAGAAGGGGACAACAAACGAGGGAGGGGCTGTGGCAAACTGTTTCGTCGGAGTTTCACCGACTCATCAGGAGGCTGTATATTTGACGATCTGCCCGGTAAACCGTAGGCAGAGAGAGAGAGAAGAGGACAACAAACGAGGGGCTGTGACAAACTGTTTCGTCGGAGTTTCACCGACTCATCAGGAGGATATATATATATATATATATATATATTAAGAATGCAAGCTTTTTTCTTCATGCCGCTGAATGCATGGAGGGGTTTCGTGGCAAGAGAGAGGTCACAAATTACATTGTAGTACTCGTAGCAATGTACAGGGCCTTAAGATTCGTTATAAAGAATAGAAAAAAGAATGGCTGGTTGTGCCTGGTTGGCCTATTATATCACGGGCAAGGTTGAATTCGATTGTTTGTTTGTCATGAAGAATGTGTGTTGCCATAGCGTCTAGTCCGGGGAGAGAAATGACGTTTTGCGGAAAAGGACTTCTAAAAGATAAACAAAAAAAACCTCGAATGCCATGTCGACTGACAATAATAATGCAAGAAATTCACTTCCGAGTTGTTCCAAGATGAAGGGGGCAGGGTGCCTTTCCCCTGTTAGTTGTGTGAGAGCCATTAACGTGACACGATAAGTGATGCTGCTCTCTGGCGAAATAAAAAATAACAAAATTTTGCCATAGCGTCTACTCCGGTTGATGATAAGGGACGTCGGAAACTTACCTTCTTCCCCCGAATACAACGTACGGTCATTAAAATTTATAACTGTATGTAGACTGAAAGATACCCACAATACAGCTATAATTACTGTACGTTGTATTCGGGGGAAGAAGGTAGCCACCCGTTGTGTGATAACCTTGCTTGTCTTGTGTGTGTCCCTGTCAGGAAGGGGTGGGCCCGCATGGGGGCAGGGGGGGAGAG